TTATAGCATACCCCACTGTACAGTATTCTTTTCTCCAAACTCCAGACGAATTTTTAGCCAGCATTCTGAGCATTGAATATTTCAACAAGGCATCAACTGTCCATTATTTCTAAACCAACTTGACATTAGCACTTAATTGTATTACTCCATTTTTACTGACTAAAACTGCACCCCTGCTTTACCTAGTGCATGTATCCATAAAAACAATCATAAGATGGTTTATCATCTCAGGCACTGTCTACTCAAAAGAAGAGTAACTGACAACCAATTAGAAATAATATGGTGACTGGATGCAGGTGAGAAGGCTAACCTACTCATGCATGAATTGGAACTGGAATGACCACTATCTACTGTATAATATACCTGTATAATATTCCTGACTACTCACAAGGTTCCCAGATAATTGATATGCTACCTATATACAGTAATACCTCAACATATGCGAGTTTAACTCTCGCAAATTTGACTAGCACCAAAACAACATGAGGAGCTTATTTTAAAAACCACAGCTGTCCGCCATGATGTGATGTCATGGCGTTATGCTGCATCCCGCACGGCTTTTCTCTCCCGCCAGTCTCATCTGATAGTTCTCCCGCATTGCTCACCAGCCTCGTCTGAGAGCAGTTCTAACGTTAATTATAACTGTAATGGCTCCCAAAAGGCTATTAACTGGTGGTAGTGCATCTGGTGCAAAGAGAGTGAAGAAAGTCATGACTGACACAGAAAATTGAAGCGTTAGATAAACTTGATAGCGGCATGAGTGTGCAAGCGGTTGACCATACATTTTAAGTTAATGAGTCAACTGTTCGTTCCATAAAGATGAAAGGCAAGGAAATTAGAAACAGTGTTCCTCATAGTGCACCACACAGTGATAAAGTTACACATCAGATACATGATAAAGGTTTGGAGAAGATGGAGAAGGCATCAAGTGTATGGATTGAGGATATGAGTCAAGAGTGCCGAAAATTTAACAGATATGATTTACGACTATGGCCCATCAATGGAATTAAGCAGAATATTGAGAAAGTTTTATAACCTTATCAAGAAATGTACAAAGAACTAAAAAAGAAAGCCAAACAATTGCCAATAACAATGTTTTTAACGCCGACATCCACCCCCTCCTCTCCTCACCAACCAGCCCGATGACACCTGCATCACACCTGCCACACTCACAGCCCACTTCTCCCCTTCTTCCTCACCTGCCAGCCATTCATCGGTCATTCTGGATGATCCCAGTTCAAAGGTCTTAAAGGAGCAGTGATATCTGCAGTATCATTACTGAGGCCTCTACAGCAGCTCATTATGAGGGAAGAAAAGTACACTTTACATACATTAGTAACACAGCTAATTAATTTGTTCCCAAAATATTGATATTACACTTACGACCAAGAAAAATTATATATTCTTCCCAGTCATAAGTTAGTTACAAAAAAACCTTATATTCAGTGTGTACATGTATGCTTGTTTCATTCACAGCGTTATGTTTCAGGCAGGCGTTCATTTGTGCGCAGATGGTGCAACGGTGGTGGTACGGTATGGGCCGTGTGAGGCAAGCAGCAGACAACGCGTCGCTGCTACTGCAATCCAGTTGATTTTCCTAACATCACACCACATTTACTTGCTTCTCATTAATTTATTTTTAACTGACACATAACACAGCTGTATAAAGTAACTATACATACCTGTGTAATATTTAGAGGGCTTAAGTGTTTTTCCTTTTCTTTTTTTTTCCTTAATTTATGGTACACTATAATATTAAACATAGGGTATTAAAGAACGTTATTCCCCAAATTCTACATTTGCAGGTGTCCCAGGAACGTATCCCTCACAAATGTTGAGGTACTAGTGTATACAATTACGACACATTGAAAGCCTTATCATGAAGGTAATATAATATACCCGGTACTGTACATTACTAAAATACATAATATTTTGAGTTGATGAAAGGAAAGTGAAGAAAACTGTAGAGAAATTTAAGAGTATAGCATTGTACCAGGAAAGGATGGAATGGAAAGAAACTGTAAAATGTGATGAGAGAGACTGATAGTACGGAACACAGGGTTTAAAAACAAGGAATTTACTTACATCCAAGTTTTAATAAATAAGGTACAGCAACCCCTTTGTTCATTTAGAGCATTTACAGGCTAAGGACACACAAAGCTTACACCTTATCAACCTGAAAGAACTCCATAAACTACATACCATGACATACAACTGAAATATTTTATGACTTACTTGTGAAGTAATCCAACAGTTTGATGCACAAAGTGAATGAGGGCTGGCAGCTGAGTGGGCACAGTAGTTAACACAGAAGAGAGAAGGCGCATGGTGGCGGACACTGCTGTTATAAGTCTGGGGTCCAACAGACTTGCTCCACCACCCACCTTCACAATGGTAGATAACAATGCTTCAATACATACTCCTTAATTTGTCATTACTGTGATTGTTTAAAATTAGTCACACAGCCAATGTACCACTCATCCAAAAATATGCTCTCTCCTGTGATGTTATCCTCATATAAAAAAAAATACACAAAAAACACTAGAAATATTACACTTAAAATATTTATTGAAAATTAAACTTAAATAGTAATACCCATGTAACAGGTATAGGAGTTTTATGGCTGCTGGTATATCTATGAATACCAACTGTCTACTGCCAGGAGCAATGTGCACATGGAACATACTGATCTCTTCATTACTCTTAAAGTATCTAGTAAGGATAATGCCTAAATCCCCATATGCATGGCTGGTAATAATAATGCCTGTAAAGTTTCAAAATAATCAATTCAAATTTTTCAGATTAAATTCATTTAAAAGTTTTGGGTTAATACACCTACAAATACATAAGTGAGATGGCTGATGACTATGTCCCAGTAGTCAAAGAGTAATAAACCCGCAACAAAATGTCTTTATGTTAGCCAAAGTGTAGTTACTGTACATCAAACTGTTTAAATCCCTTCAGTAAGTCTCTCTTTATCGTATTTGTGGACCAAACTTCTTTCATTCAAGAATAAAAGCTCTGAAAATAGCCAAATAAAGTCCAGTGATCTCCCTCCCACATTTTGACCAAAACTTTATTCTTAGCAACAGTAATCTTGACCTCTGGTCCTGTTCCTTAATTAAAAACAAAAACAAAAACCACTGAGTGTCAATGATTATGTCTACTGAATCTAAAGTGACTCAATTCTGATTATTTATGTCCCTGGGATATCATGCTAAGGTTAATTTTAAGCCCTGAAAATAAAAAATAAATAAGAAATTATCATACATTAAAGTATTTACCTCATTGTCAAGCAGCTTCATGATAGCAAGGAGTCCCTGCCAGGCATTTGTTTCCATCTGCCACATCACAACCAATGGTTCAGTTGAAATCAACATTCCACGTGTATGTGTTGCTACTGTCACTGTTGGCATCAAGTGTAGAGGACCTGTAGTATAACAATCACTTAACCGTATCTGTATATTTTGAGACTCGGCTTCAGGAACAACCCAAGTGATAGATGGAAGTTCACTGAGAAGTTCCACCACCTGTGAAGATTAAAATATACAAATAAATAAAACAATTTCCATCAGTCAGTTGCCTGAATCACTGTCTATTATATAATAATGCTATATTTAATTATAATGAGGCTATACAACACAAGTAAAGTGATGCTTTTCAAATGAGAGAAAATCACAATAACTGCAAACCAAAATTAAACTTCTGGGAAAACAGTATATCAAGCAAGAGGGCAAGACAAAGACAGGGATTATGTTACAACAAAACAGAAACTCCCAATAAGGTGCTGAAAACCTTGGCACTGCAAGGTCTTTTCTGCTACGTCCAATATAGAAGAGAAAAAGAAAAATACACTTAGTAGGAATAATTTTTCTACCTTAATAGATTTCACAATCTCTTAATCTTGATTTAATTCACCTGATAAATGTTTGTATAATCTATAAGCAACAGCTGTTCAGGAGACAGCATCGCTGTAACCACATCTAAATTCATTATTTTTATTAGGCATTTCTCAGTCTTCAAAATTTACCTCTACTGTTATCTACAATTCCATTTTTTTCTTTGCCAAATACATTTTTTAACATAACAAGATTTTTGTCTTGTAAAACAAGTGTGACTAGTTCTACACATCTTTCATCAATCCGCTTTAAATAGTACAGGGGGCCCCCCAAATTTGTGGATTTTTTTTTTGCGGTCCTCTATTATTCGCGGATGACACTTTGGATATACCCAAGAATGTCTGTGGGTAGTTTTGAAGTTGTCAGCATTTTTGAGCCGGGATGGGGAGCCATTCGTTCTAGAGACAGTAATTTCCTTTACCTATATTATATATATATGTGTGTGTCTAAACACAAACACACACACACACACACACACACACATATACAATACAGGATAAAAGAAATAAATGTCCTAAGGGCAAACACATAAAGAGAATATACATCTATTTGTACACAAGTAAAAATGTAACACCCCCCCCCCCCCGTTAGCAAATGTTATTCACTGATTTAGCGATTCGCAGCCATTTTGAGAACATAACCCCCAAGAATTTGGGGGCCCCATGTAACTTTAATCTACCAAACGTGTCATATCACAAGTTTTGTTAAGAAATGAAGAATAAGCCTTTGAATAGAGTAGCAGTGATTTCAATGACTTCTCTGTAGAGTGTGAGGTACAGTTGCCCTGTGCTGGCAACTGTACCTGCACTGTGTAATGTTGTAGCATGAGAGGAGTGTGTGAAGGAGAATCAAACTCACCCTTTTTAGAAAAGTGGGTCTCAAAAGGATCTCCCAAGAAATTTCGCCAAATTTCACCAGAACTGGCAAAATCTGGTGCATTTTTATATACAGGTAAATATCTTTGCACTTCCCTGTGATGTAAATTACCAAATTTTTCCAATGTTACCAACCTTATGACAACTCTCAGGGTTTGCCAGAGCCAGAGCCGTAGTGAGAGATAATAAGGGTTCAACGTCATGTGGGAATACTTGTAATGCCTGCGGTAACAGCAGACCAGCTCCTCCACCTTAAAATTGAAATCATTCATCAGTAATTTTTGCAGGTAATTTCCATTCCCAGGTATCAATAATCAAAAACTATTTAAACAGAGGAAATAATGCTCAATGCTTGGTTGGGATATATACTGTACAGTAATCTATCTCCCTGTCAGCTGGAATGTTCAATCCCAGGGACTTTCAAGAAAATTCCCTTCATTCTGAGCATTCAAATAAAACTACATTATTTAAAAATTTGATAAAATATCTCGCCAATCATGAGGGTTATTTGTTATTGTTGTGGAGCGGCACAGCGTGGCGTGGACCCCGTGATCCTGCCAGCCCTGCACCAAGCTCAGACATAATCATCATAGCATAAGGCAAGAAACTGATTTTCAATGCTAAATATTTGGGTTAAAATACAACTGACTTATTATTTTTATTTCATTAAAACAACATTCACCATTCAGTTGAAAAAATAAATAAAACTAAATAAGTGGAAATATTAATTCCAGCGTTTAGGCTTCATGGAATGAACATTCCGGATAATCTCTTAAGGGCTAGCAATAGTTGATGAAACTACAGACAGCACTGTATTAAGATGGAAAGAAACGGTCTATTAAAATGCATATAATCAAGTATTATTTATGTTAACCTACTGAAGATATAGAGCTTGTCTGATAATTTGGTACAATCAGTGAACAAAAGTAAAATAAAATGAACTCCCATGTTCTGACATCCTCGTGCTACATGAGTCAATGTAATTGGGGAAAAGTTGACACAGTTCTGGAGTAAGATACATAGGTTCCTCAACATAACTTGTATTTTTGATCTCATAGATTTCGAGCAGTTGTGTTATACATAAATAAAAAACTAATCCTTGAGAATAAGACACATCACTACACCTTAAAAATCTGTGTCTGTATGGGTGACTGAGATTAATTAATATATACTGTACTTGACATTTTTCAGTCTCTAAGCAGTAGGTATTTTCTTTTTAAATTACTAACCTTCTTCAGACCAAAAGAGATGTGCAGGGGGGTCGTGTGCGAGGCAGTTCTTGGCTAGAGAATTTAAGACTGGTAAATAGTCTACCCTGTCCAAATCCAAGGAGCCAGCAGCTGCACACACCAAGGAATACACAACAGATGATCCAAGACGTAGAAGTAATTCATCTCCCTGACAACATGATGAATTAATGACTAAAAACATCAAAACAGATGTGTTGTACATAAATCATAGTTATATGCCTCAAAAACAAAATAACTTTCATTTTATCTGAACTGTTGTTCTTTGAGGACAAGGAAGGAAATGATCATAAGTAGAATACAGGCAGTCCCCAGTTTATGAATTTCATGCCTTCCTGAAAATGTGTTTATAAATTGGATCAATACAGCATAAGCCACTGAAACAATGGTATAAATAATTAATTGGTATCCAGATGCAAGTAAAAAACCACATAACTAAATTTAGTTATGGAAAGAAATGATTAAATTAATATTATAATAGTAAAAGGTACAGTCGGCCACAAGAATAAGTATACACCTACGGTTTGTGTTTGAGACAAAATATCTGGTAACACTGTCCTGAACAGAACAGACAAAATTACAAAATGACCTGTAGTTTATGTTTTATTCCTACAAATGTTATAAATACATTTGTTGTGAATGTTTTACTAGTGTCTTGTGTTTATATTACAAGTAATATATTGTATCCAATGGTAGTAAACTTGTTGCTGAACGGGATTGCAGTTATCGTACAGCTCCCTCCTCCTCCCCACTTTTTCTCTTACCCTACTTTTTATTTTACTGATGTTTGGATTAGTAAAGGAAGGAAGAGGAGTAAATAGAAGAATAAAGAAGGGGAAACAGAAAATAGTCAGAGATAACAGGTGGTAGAGCCGAGTTTCATCATACGTCTGGATGCACAGTTTCAACGTTACCAGACCATTTTCGGACCTTACAGCTACAGTGTGTATACTTATTCCTGTAGTCGACTGTACAGTAAATGAAAAAAAAAAAAAAATCAGAATGATCAGTGTAAAACCACAAAACTGCACAAAAGGTGTATGGCACCACTCAAACAAAGCAGATGGGAGAACAACTGTGTGCAGAAGTAAGGAGAAGTTTGCCTGCACAGTGTTCATATTTCTGCATTCAAGTGTTTGGACTCCAGTGTTTCTCTGATTGGTGGCGGTGTGTTTAAAAACGGTGTTTGTATGAGCGGAATGAACGTTTGAAAGATGGAAACCTGGTTATAAAGTAAATGTTCATGTGCCAGATATTCACAAACCAACAACTGCCCATACTGTACTGTACTGTATTCATTTAGGCCACTGAGTATCATCACACTATCATGTGGTAGGGACTCGGCAAATCCTTTCTTAATTTTTTTTGGGGGGGTAGAGTGGTGGGGGGGGGGGGAGGAGTCAGAGGAAGGGTGTTGTAAACTAAACTCTCCCAGAAGTTTTTTAAATCTGACCAATATCATGGGCATTTTGAGGCCATTTTGAAGCCATGTGCATTTAATATTAAGAGATATTCTGAGGTCAATAGTAATTACTTTTTACTATACAAAAATGCCTGAGTACAATACTGCATTAAAGAAAAAGTATTGGAATTTTCTGATGAAAAGGAGGGTCCGGACCCCCAGGACCCCCCTGGATTTGCCCTTGTACAATATAATAAAAACCAACAATACAATACTAGGACTACAGTAATCTCTGGCATATGTTACAATTCTTCAGACACCCTAACTACTACCAGTATTTCTTCTTCCACATTATGATACAATCCCTTACAATAATTTTTGGAGTAAACCTTCTATCTCTCCAAACCTGTACATTATTCTCTAATACTCTCTTCCCTTTTCAATCACTGTACCTTCTAAATTATCATTCACTTGGCTTAACTTGATCTCAATATCCACATCTTTTCTAAGTTCAATGAGTCACATATAACTACTAACTACAGTATTTTCTATAGTCTAACTCTGCCCTCCCTTGTACTTTGATAAGGTATTCTATCAATATTATTACTATGCTTAGGTTATTAATGATTATGAATTTCATCTGCAAATAAATTAACTTGTGAATACACATGTTAAATCATTCTATGAATCAAATCTATGGAAAAATAGTAACACAGGTATTATGAGACTTGTGAGGATAGCACACTTAAGAAAATTTAAGAGCCAGTATGGTAACTTTGATCCAGCATAAAACAGGTGTCCAACACATCTTGCTTTGCTTAAGCTTACCTTAATAGCAGTATTATTCAGGGCTGTTTGAAGATAGCCAAAGACATTCCCATGTAAAGCACGCTGGGCAAGCTTATGGTATATTTTAGGGTGGCCTGAGGATGTCCCACCACTTGTTCGTAACTGCAGCACAGCCCAGGCTAGTAATGGAGCAAGGTGAGGTGTTCGGGCACCAAGCCCAGCCATGATGGGATCTAATTTGCTTACCCATCCGCTATCACATAGGTTGTGACCACTGTAATTATGATTTAACACTTATTACTGATAAGCATCTAAAGTTTCAGATTACCTTATACATTTCAGCATCTATAAACATACCTAAAACACTCAGTTTTTGTTAAGGTAAATATTGAGACCCTGTGAGAAGTACTGAGCTTGAGGAGTTATACAAAATTTTATTATAAGCTGTCATGGGTGGACCAATATTGCACTAGGGGTGTGATGTCACTTTCATTATTTAATGATTTTATGGATCAAGCATAACCAGAAACAAAGTAAGAATAGGTTATTGTAGAATATAAATGATATATGATGATACACAATGGAAGTTATAAAGGCTAATAAAAATTCTAATCTTAATCTCAAACCCACAATAATGTACAGTATAGTCTAATGTAAGTCTCTCCTACATTCATTTCAGAGTTGATTATTGTTGAGAGTTTGCCTTGACTGCAGTAATACTATAAACCACAAGATTTTTTTGTTATTTCAATTTATGGACCCTGAATAAAATAACAGACCTGTAACTCTAACACTGAATAAGTCAGATAATAAAGCAGTGATTTAAAACCAGCTATGTGCACTCAATGATAACAAGCTTATTAAACAACTATTTACCTAGGAATAAAATTTAGAAACATTGGATTAAGCTTACAATGACATAAGGTTTAGTATACAGTATGTCCGTCAAATATATACTTCTGTGATCACTAATAAGTCCTGTTGCCATTTTTGTAGTCATTTTTTTATCATATTTTCTTTTCTTTTCAGATTCTCATTAAGACTGGCATTCTCAATCAACACAATGTATTAACTGTTGAACATATCTTTAAAGCTAATGTATTAACTGTTGAACATATCTTTAAAGCTAATGTATTAACTGTTGAACATATCTTTAAAGCTAATGTATTAACTGTTGAACATTATCTTTAAAGCTAACTCAATTGAAGAATGTGAGAGAGAGTTGTATGACACACAGGGGCCATCTTATATGTCACCTCGAACCGTGTGGGTGGGGACATAGTTGCCGTACCTAATATGAAACCATAACACTTGTTCAGTAAATCCATGTATCTAGAACTCACCTTGAATAAAACAATAACAATGCAGATTTATATGATCCTGACAGCTTCATAATAAACCATTATGCACAATATGATGATTTCTTAAGTGAGTTTCCCTTGCCCAACCACCCACACAAATATCTACCAATTCTCTACTATACAACAGTAACATACTCATCCCCCCTAACAACCCAATTACTCATTCAACCAAATTCCAATGAGGTTTACTTCACTCCAACCTTTCTTTAGGTGAAGTATATACCATAATCTTCTTCATTATATACTATATTAATCTTATCTTCCCCGTGGTTATTCTGTTTCATCATACAGTACTTACTGCTAAGCCTCTTTCTAAGAACTACAGTACAGAGTGCCCTTCAAATTTGCGGACTCTTAATTCACAGTCCTCTATTATTCGCGGATGACACCCTGGATGTACCCAAGAATGTGTAAGGGTACTTTTAAAGTTGCTGGCATTTTCGCAGCCAGGACAGGGAGCCATTCGTTTTAGAGACAGTCATTTCCTTTACCTGTATTGTATATATGTGTGTAATAATAATAATAATAATAATAATTAACGGTTTATTGAAAAAGTTCTGCAGCCCGAAGGCTGAAAATATACATTGGACATAAATGACTTATTACATACATTGGTGGTTTAACAAAAGCCTTCATTAGAGAAAGGTAGAAGGAACATACAGTGAACATACAGATTAATGTAGGTGTTGAACAGCAAACACGTAGTGTAGTAACTCCCTCCCAGATGGTGTTAGGAGGGACCTCACGTGGTGTAGTAGTTCCCTCACAGATGGTGTTATGAGGGGCCTCACGTGGTGTAGTAATTCCCTCACAGATGGTGTTATGAGGGGCCCACGTGGTGTAGTAATTCCCTCACAGATGGTGTTAGGCCTGTAGGGATGGTGTTATGGGGGCCTCACGTGGTGTGGTAATTCCCTCACAGATGGTGCTGCTGAGAGACCTGGATGTGGTAGCACTTCACAGATATGTTATGAGGACCTCACGTGGGTGTAGTAACCTCTACAGATGGTGCGGAGGGACCTGGGACGGGTGTGCACTTCTCCCAGATGGTGTTAGGAGGGACTCACGTGGTGTGTAATAGTTACTCTCACAGATGGTGTTATGAGGGACCTCATGTGGTGTAGTACCCCACAGATGGTGTTATATGAGAGAGGTGGTCCAAGGGCCTCCCATCGAGGACGGATTAACACATCGCTGGTTGTTGTTGATCTCACGGGCTGGCATCACGGGTGCCTGGGACCTCACCTCTGTGTATGCTAACTTGGGCAATGACTGTTACTGTTGAGCTGCCTCACTGACTTAAGCACTGTTCACCCTGCTTAACACTGGTTCCGCCTTTCCTAAATGAAATTGGGCAAACTCTTAAGTAGAACTTGTTGATATTCAGTGGGGAGGAGGGTCTAGGGAGGGAGTTGCAAGGCCACAAGTTGACCTGCATGTCTCGGGTAGTAGCTCAGGTAATGCCTTGGACTCTTGGCTGGGCGATGCAGTGTGTGTGTGTGTGTGTGTGTGTGTGCAGAAACACACACACAAAACACATGGTTACACAGGGCTCAGCTGGTTTCGAACAATGTATAAAAATGTTGAGTATACCTCACGCCTACTCCGTGCTTTTGTTACTACAGCTAATGAATGGACTTGAGGTAGACTCAACATTTAATACATTTGTTTCTTGATTATTTGTGAGAAGATTTTCTATTATTATTTATTTGTATAAAATAGCACACACACACACAATATCAATAATAATAATAACAAAATGGTAGGGTAAAAAAAAAAAGGTTGTCATGAGGGCAAACACATAAAGGGAACATACATTTCTTTGTACACAAGTAAAAATGTAACCCCCCCCCCCAGCAAATGTTATTCGAGGGCTTGGCGATTCGCAGCCATTTTGAGAACCTAACTCCCGCGAATTTGAAGGGCATCCTGTACCTTCATCCTACGCACAAATCTCACCCAACCAATTCTCTTCAATTCATACATCTGCATAACCCATCTAATTCCCCTGCAAATTCTACACTTGACTTGCTCCCATTCACCATATAAATGTCACTCATTTCAAGATGGTATTAGTAAAGAGTTTGTAGTTAGGATTCATGGGTCATATTAAGAAAACACTGTGAATATATCCAGGCTATATTCACTCTCCTGACTGTTTAGCATTTCTTGAAAGGAAAACTTTTCAAGACAATACAAAAAAGAAGTAATGCACTCAATACTGTATCTAATTACAGTATATAGGACTAAAAAAAAACACAGTTGTCCTATACCCGGCAAAATATGGTTTGCAGCACAGGACTTAGCTACTGGTCCTTTATGCTATGAGAGACTCTTCTTACCTATACCACATAGAACTACACAACCTAACTCCTGAGACCAGTTCTTAAGTAAACCTAGCATCAAATAGTTCCTTTAATCTTGGAGCACCGTACACATGTTTGTTGTGGAAACCTGTACTAACCTTGTAGGAGAATCAGCATTAATGGCAAGGATAAGTAGAAGCATATGTGTAGCATCAAGGGCCTCCACTAAGGGGCCATGGCTGTCCCGCAAACCCTCTTGAATCTCTGACCGCCCAGCCAGTCCTCCTCCCTACAACAGGTTAATAAAGATTTAGAATAGCAGCAGCAAATTTACACCCAAAAGACCAAAAGTCATTTAAAGTACTGTCTCTATTAAGGCAATTCTTTTAATAGGAACCTTTCACTCAATTATTTGTAACTTTTAAAATTATTATTTTCATAAAAACAAAAAATTAAATCTTGACTGAAGGAATGACAGTTATGATGACATGATTATGTTCTCCTTTTGTCAGCTAACACTCCTTGATTACAAGAGGTGTATAAATAATAAACAGGTGCTAATATGTGGGAACCAATCTACCTCATTATTGTGCAGAAAATATATGTTGTTACTCAAGACAAATATCCATACTGTAAGAAATTAAATCCACAAATAAAGAAAAAACAGTAAAGTAACATTACCTGTGCCAGCTGAACAAGTTTCTTAAATGTGTCAGGAGTAGGAGAGCGAGTGGTGCTGCCATAGTATACAAGGAGAGTGGCCAGTACTTCTCGCAGTTCTGCCAGGTGGTGGGCCAGCCATGTATGAGGGCCATGAGAGGGCAAATGTGGGCCATGAGTCTGAGGGGTTGGGGAAACCATTCTGGTACACAGTAATACTTGCTGCACTAGACTCTCCCCAAGAGTACCATCCTTGTCCAGGACATCCTGCATGAAGTCACCAAACAAACTCTGAAATGCAATTATATAAATATGTATATAGAAGACGTATAAGTACTGTATTTCTTTGTGTAAATTAAGCATATTTAATCAGGGGTGGATCCAGGGGGGAGGGGGGGCTCCTGAGGGTCAAGACCTTCCCTTTTCACCAGAAAATTAAAAAAAAATTCTTTAATGCAGTACTCAGGCATTTTTGTATAGTAAAAAGTAATTACTATTGACCTCATAATATCTCCTAATATCAAGTGCACATGGCTTCAAAATAGCATAAAAATACCCATGATATTGGTTAGATTTAAAAAAACACACAGCTGGTTGGGTTCACTGTGCTCGCCATAGCTTCTTGGAACCACCCCCCACCTCTTTGATATTTCTGGATCTGCCCCAGTTAATAAATATGATAAATTTAATATATCGAAAGAGTTACATTAAAAATTAATCACAATTATACTTCAGAAAGCATTACATTTACACATTTTATAGCTTTCTCTTTTGTATTTACAACATTTTCACACCAGTTGGAGGTCCTTTTCACACCAGTTGGAGGTCCTTTTTAATCTCATGACCATCTGCTTCAACCTTTTCAACCACTGTATACAACAAGTTCGTACATTAATCTCATTCATGTTCATTTATGTATCACCACATTCTCATTACAGTAAACATTTTCTCCATTACACTGGAAGACCAAACCTTTGAATATAATTTTATATTTCCATACTTATTATGTAACTACAAATTTGTAACACTTTCTAATACTGTACTGTATAAACTAAAGACAGCATCAACAGCTAATTATGTATAATCACCAATATCATCACAAATTTAGTCTGTTATCCATTAAAAATTCTTCAGCCTACTGTATTTCACCTACAGTATGTGCTAATGATCCAGTTTTCAGTAGCCCTCCTGGATAATGACAGTACAGTACAGTACAGGTACTCCCCGACTTACGACGGGGTTAGGGACCGACATCCAGGTCGTAAGTTGAAATGGTCGTAAATCGGAAATGCTTAAATAACACATAGAAAATCTTTTTCTTCTCAGCACCACAAAACACTCACTTTTAAGCTTGCCAGCCATTTTAAAGTGAATTACAGATGAAAATTTTGTCTGTGTACTGACTTTGGGACTTGAAAATACGTAAGTGCGGGTGGACGTAAGTCGAGTAGGTCGTAAGTCGGGTCGTAAGTCGGGGAGTACCTATCAAATACAATGCTGTACAGTACACTTAAGTCATCATATTCACTTTTCACTTATTTTGGTAAATACCTGGTAAGGATGTTGTCGGTTTGCTGTATTTGCAACAATGTGTCTCAGGCAGCGGAGAAGATGTAAGCGATCACTGAGATAAAAACTCCAGAGCTGAGCCAGAAAAGTTTCCTCGTCACGCTGGCTGGCCAAGACCTCCACTAAGGAGGCTTCTGCACCTCGATACTCATGTAGTAAGAACAGCTGAAACACTTCCCAGCTATGGACTGCAGCTAAATCCTACAGAAGATATAAAGAGTAAACCTTAGTTACATAGTACTGTGTTACATTAACTAGCAAAACAGTTATAATGTGATATACAAAATACAATATGCATATGTAAAGTCTACACAGTTCTATAAAAGCTTGAAATTACTGTATAATCTCCTTTATATTACAGCACTGTACCTACTTACCATCTGAACCAATCATTACTTACCAGCAACTGTGAGAGCTTCTTTACAAAATCCTTTTCTGCCTGTGTGGCTTCTGCTGTGTCTGCCCATGTTTTATAATGGTTATCAGTGGGTTTTTTATATGCTGCCAAACCAACCCTCAAGTGTGGGGCAGCTAACTGTAGCTCTGCACCAACCACTTCATCCGATGGTAAAACATAGGTGCCACATATAACTCCCCACAGAGCTTTACCACTGCAATAAAAAATTGATTTACTGTATTAATATAAATAAGAATATATAAACTATTTCTTATACAGTACTGTATTTAGGAGCTGGCCGGAGAATAAAGCACATAGTGATATGAATTTTGTTCACTTCTAATATACAGGGGAGGGGGTAAGTTTCTATTATACGTCAGGATATGTTCCAGAAAAAGGCGACTTAGAGTGAACATTTTATAATGAGGAATTTTCCTCATTAGAATTATTGTACCACTAATTAGGGGTATATGCATTCTGACATGTACAGTACAGTACAGTACAGTTAGGCCCCCTTGTGTACCTAGAGAGAGAACTTTCAACAAATCAGCTTAAAATGGGGGTCATTATAACATACTGTACCGCATAGTACAGTACAGTATTTGATATGGAGATACGTTCACAATGTTATTTATTACAGTAATTTTGAGTGACATATGATGGCTCAATTTTGTTACTTGTACACTTAGACAACTGATCAGTGAATAAACCAGGATATATGGAGACACATTATACACTACAGTAATATCCCCATTAGCCAGAACAATTGGTGCAGTGCACATCTGGGAATGAGAGATTTCTGGGTCATGAAACGACTCTCAAAGCCGGAAAAAATCCCCACCCCCAGAATTTTCTGGGTTACGGAAAAATGTTCTCAGACGTTCCAGAATGATGCAATATTTCATCTCACAAACCTGGAAAAATCCCTTATTCCCGGAATTTTCTGGGTAACAAAAAAATATTCTAGGTTCCAGAAATTGCGCAATACAGTGCATCCCCGTATAACGTCGTCCTGCTTAACGTTGTTTCGGTACTACACAACGTCGCTAAACTTTAGAGACCAAAAATTCGTTTAACGTCCCGGTGATCCGATACTACGTCGTTTTGCGTTGTCACGGACTACTTCCTACTGCACATCACTCCGCTCTTATCTGGACGCACTACACTCTCTCGGCTCGACGCGCTGCCCTCACTCGCAGAAAGTCACAGTGTCCCCAAGCGACGCCAAGCCAGTCTTTCTTACGACTTCACATCATTCGTGTGTGCTCAAGTGCTTTTGCTCTAAAGCTGTACTATAACCATTTGAAATGGCTTCCAAGTGCCCATCAAGTGCTACTGATGCTAGTGTAGTGAAGAGGCAACGCAAGACCATTACCCTTACTACGAAAATTGATGTATTAACCCAATTTGAAAAAGGGGAATGTGCTGTGGACATAGCCTCTGTGCATGGTCTAACCCCCACAACGGTTCGTACTATCTGAACCAACGCTGACAAGATTAAGGTTAGTGCTGGAGGTACTACTCTCAATGCTACTAAGACGACTCGTACTAGAAGCACTGTGATAGAAATAGTGGAAAAGATGCTGGCAATGTGGATGAAGGACCAGAATCAACGCAATGCCCCTGTGAGCCTTATGGTTATCCAGCATAAGGCCAGATCCTTGTTTGATTACATAGAAGAGGTTGAAGGATCGAAGGAAGAGGAGCAAACAGTGGCAGAGGAACCCCAGTCAGCGCAGGAGGAGGAGGACACAGCCACAGTGACTCACCACCCTCCTCCTCTCCTGCCCTCCTCCGCTCCCACCCTCCTCCTCCTCCGCTTCACTACCCATCACACACTCACTCTACCACCTCCGCCCATCGGTGTACCAATACAAACTTAGTAGTTGTATATGTATGCATTATTTTCTATAAAAATGGCAATGATTTTCTGTATATGTAATGTATTTCATGGGGCAAAGGGAGGCTCAGGAACGTAACTCCTGTATTTTATCTAGTGTATTTCTTATGGGGGAAATTGATCCGCTTAACGTTGTTTCTTATAACGTCGCATTTTTAGGAACATAACCCCGACGTTAAGCGAGGACTTACTGTACATCATCTCTCAAGCTCGAAAAAATATCCTCCTTCCCCAGAATTTTCCGGGTATCTGAAATTTTTTTCGAATTTTCCAGAAATTGTGCCCCTCAGAAAACCATTCCCAAAGCTGTAATTTTCCGGAAAATTCCGGCTTTGGGAACGATTTTCCAAGAAAATTTAAATTCCGGCTATCAGAGAGCTCCGGGTTTGAAGGATTCCAGCGAACAGAGATACAGCTGCTCCCCGACTTACGACGGGGTCAGGGACCGACATCCAGGTCGTGAGTCGAAATGGTCGTAAGTCGGAAATGATTAAATAACACATAGAAAATAAAAAATGGGTCTCTTTTTTTTCTCAGCACCACAACACACTCACTTGAACAAATGTGTTTCATACAGTTTTATCCATCCCACTTAGACGATTATTTTAGGTTTGGTTAGGTTAGGTTATGACACAGTAATTGTTTACGACTTCACAGCCGTTGATTTTTCATAGAAAAAGAATTTAAAAAGACCACAATTTCACTATGTTTTATAGTGGACAATATTGTAGTTATGGCAAATGTGTTAAAAAGTGTTTATTTAAAAGTTCAGGTTAACCTAACCTAACCTTAAACTCACCTAAACTAGACTAGACAAAACTAAACTAAACTAAACTAATCTGGCATAACTTAACATCTGCCATGGATGAACTTGCTGTTACAGAGACGGGGGAAGTAGCTGTGAAGTCCTCTATATTAGCCTAACACACAAGGAGGGTAATATTATCGTTTCGGTCATCCAGTCAATTTAGGATTTTAAGTTTTGCAATCAGTAGTTTAGTCCAATTAAGGCAAGCACACAGGTGGATAGGTTAGGTTTAGGTTTAGGGTTAGGGTTAGGTTTAGGGTTAGGTTTAGGGTTAGGTTTAGGGTTAGGTTTAGGGTTAGGGTCAGGGTTAGGTTTAGGGTTAGGTTTAGGGTTAGGTTTAGGGTTAGGTTAAGGTTAGGTTTAGGGTTAGGTTAGGTTTAGGGTTAGGTTTAGGGTTAGGTTTAAGGTTAGGGTTAGGTTTAGGGTTAGGTTTAAGGTTAGGTTTAAGGTTAGGGTTAGGTTTAAGGTTAGGGTTAGGTTTAGGGCTAGGTTTAGGGTTAGGTTTAAGGTTAGAGTTAGATTTTGGGTTAGGTTTAGGGTTAGGTTTAGGCCTGGGTGTTACTTAGTGTGAGCCCAACAAACACCGGTAAATATTAGTTTTTCCCCCATAACGTTATTTATTTTTCAAACCCTTACAGATATATTTTATTTTTAAAAATTTATCGATTTTTAAGAATAGCGATTTTTGTGAGTGGTTCATTTTCAATATATTTACAATGAAACACAGATCTACTTTCACCGTGTAAATGGTGGTTCAGCAGCTTTTTACCAGACGTCACGGTACCAGCCATTATCTTCACTTGTGCAACACTGCGACCTGCGGTTGAGGTGTGTGCAACAAAGACTTGTCAAAATTTGGTATCAATCTGCATCTCCTTCACACCCACCACTATCAAAAGCGACCTGAAACATTTTAAAATAATAGCGAACACTTACTGCAACCAAGAAGACAGTGCCCAAACTGTGGTAAGCGGTGTTTTTACGGAATAAAACAGACGTGTACAAAATATTCCTAGGCCCTACACTTTATGCCTTGGTGGGGTAGCCTGAGACACCACTGGGGGGGTTCGGCTTCGCACCCCGGCTAGCCAAGGGCTTCACCGGGGGGGTTAGGTTAGCTTTGGTTAGGTTAGGTTTGGTTAGCTTGGTTTAGGTTAGGTTAGGTTAGGTTAGCTTTGGTTAGGTTTGGTTAGGTTTCTTTATTTTGATATGAGAAATTGTTTTTCTGATGTAAAATTTAACCCCCGTTTCTTGTACATTAAAGGTCTTAACACGCTAACCACCCAATTGACGAGTAAACTGGTAAGTGGTGAAATTAAATAACAATAAATAAAATAAAAAATAAACACGAAAGTTTTCTCTGGGTGTTCCTGTCCTGTACTAACACTTAACTATGATGACTATTAAGATCTACATACACAGGCCTCACACATTCATCAAATAATCTCAATTTAATTAACAAAAATACAAATTATATCAATTCATCATATTCAATTACATCATTTCTTGTATATTTAGTTTTTACCTTCAATACACCTAACAAACATCAGAGAGTCTACAGTAATCACCTGACAACTTCTACAGGTTCCATGGTGGTACAAAACAAATATCTTGTGTCTCATAACCACAGGACAGCTCTTGTATTATGACTTAAACTTTGTGGTTGTTTGAGTTACTGAACACACCACCGAGCCCCTCAAACACCAGCTTTATGTGTTAGGGATTCTTTTTTATATATCTTTATATATTATCTATTTATAATAGTTATGATTACTATAATAATGAAAAATAAAATAGCTAAAAAATAATTTTGAACTTAGAAGATTTATTCATTATATAAATATCATGCGGCATAAAAATATTGTTACACATATATGATTCGGTTACCAGTGCTCGGGCTCAGGTGCGGGGCTCACCGGGCGGGTCATCTCACCAGTTGGATTATCAGGAGATATATATATATATATATATATATATATATATATATATATATATATATATATATATATATATATATATATATTTATTTATTTATATACAGTATATATATATATATATATATATACATATGCTGATAACCACAACGAAAGAAAAAAACACTTAGTTCCCAAGAGCTGTCGTGTAATTCATATGTTCCCGGGGCCCCACAGTGGCTGAGTTGCCCCGGGCCCTGCACCCTCCTAGGGACGGCCCTGGCTACAAGAGTAAACCCCGAATTAAAAATCTGGTGGAGCCCCACATCAGGCAGACATGCTTACAGAGTTCCAGCAAGACCCCAACGGCGGTATAAGAGGAAGAGGTGACCCCCATGGGAACCCAACGACTACACCGACGGACGAAGACAATGCCTGATGGATAGGCTACTAAGGGGAAACCCAACAAACTGAGCTATCGGCAGTCCATTGCAACTCTTCCTCTCCCCAGTCACTGCAACCCTTGCACCACTGGATCAGGAAAAAGGAGAGTCAAGATGTGTGGTTCAGTGGCGTAGTTAGTGTGTGTGCCGCCCGGGGCGGCCCTTGAGTTTGCCGCCCCCCCGTGGCTTTTGTCGGGGGGGCTTTTGTCTGGGTGGCTTTCGTCTAGGGGGCTTTTGTCTGGGTGGCTTTTGTCGGGGGGCTTTTGTCTGTACCCCAGTGAGGATAGTGTTGTAGTGGACGTCTCCCCTACAACTGCCTACAACTGTGTAGCAGCCCACCACCTGCTATCACATTCCAACGTGCCGTTGCCTAGCAACGAAACTATTCACCGGCGACTTCTCGGGTTTTCCCAACATGACTCATGGCGGCTGCTGCTGGGTATATAAGCTCTGTCTCTCCATTGAGATTCAGTCAGACCATTCTTCTTGAACTAGCAACACCTCCTCCTCTGCCGCTGCCTGGCGGCCTTCGCTTCTCCTCGCCTGCCTGGCGGTCCTCGCTCCCGCCAGCGAGCATGGCGACCCACCAGCTGTCCTTCTCTGAGCTTCCTCACCAACCAACTCTCATTCTGCCCATCTTCCTGAACAAGCAACACTTCCTCCAGCAAGCTCCACGCACCAGACTGTCTATCATATAACTTATATATTATACAAGAAAACCACATTAGAGTTTCCTTCCATCCTGAGTGCTAGACCACATTAATATCTCGATACCCCTACAGTGTCTTAGTATAAAATCGCAATGCTGTGAAACAAAATCTTAATATTTAATCTCAGTTCCGCAGCAAAAGTCACATCAATATTTTTTAACCAATACTTTAATATTTCTTACCTTATAGTATTATGTCTTCCAACGAAGTAAATAACTGGATCGAAAACACAAGAGAACATAAAGTCGTCTAGCCTCCCCTCGTCTTGTCACGATGGAGACTTGTGCAGAACTGAAGTGAATTGCTTGTAACTGGTGGATTGGTCGGCTGTACATGAACTGATATGACCCGAGACTACATGGTTTTGCAGCTACTGGAGACGTTAATCCTTCCCTTTGTATCGGCGGCAAGTTAATCCTCGTCGTGTCTGACCTAACACCTGACCCACACCACATGAGCTCACTGGCGTACTTGTTTGAAGTTGTTTCCTTAATCCTCAACAGGTTACAGGTTGTGTGTGTGGGGGGGGAGCATAGCAAGGGTGTACGTAGCTCATGACGTGGCCGTGATGATGTGGGTCAGGTGTTAGGTCAGACACGACAAGGATTAACTTGCCGCCGATACAAAGGGATGGATTAACGTCTCCAGTAGCTGCAGATATGGGTGATTAGCAGACCCAAAAGTGCCGCCCCCCAAAAGTGCCGCCCGGGGCGGACCGCCCCCCCCCTAGCTACGCTAGTGGTGTGGTTGCAGCCTGCGCTCCTGCCTCACCACATAAATCAGCTCACGCTCAACTAACATCCAGCTCATCATCCCTCTCATCATCATCAAATCTCCTTCCTCCCAAAAGTCCCATGGCGACGAGGACAGGCAGAGATGACTGCCGGGAGTCTCTAGTCACAACTCTGCACATGGGCAGCACAGATAAGATGGTCGTTTATGCACTGGGATCTAGGCAGCAGTGCAATCTGGTCCTGTCTGTGCAACTGAGCAGCCTTTTCGAGGAGCCACTCAGCTCACCTCACATGGGGAGGGGGCTAGAAAAGGTGCCCTAAACATAGCCTGCCTAAAGAACCAGCCTGACTGGGCAGCAATTTCTTTGACCTTTCTTAAAGCTCACAGAGATCTTTCTGCAGCTCTTCACAATCTCATTGGTTAATTTCCAGAAATAACTTGGCGTCAACCACAAACATTTGTATGGAGTGCATAGCTTCTAGCATGTCATTTAAGAAGCTAACAAACAACAACGGGCCCAATACACTGTCCTGTGGTACCCTGCTTGTCACAGGTACTCATAATGATTTCGTACCATTTATCACCACACACAAGCTTGCGGGCATGTAGAAAGTCTCTGATCCACGCTAAGACAGTTCCCCGAATCCTGTACCCTTCCAGTTTAATTTTCAGCCTTTCATGGGGTACACTGTTGTGAGAGGTTGGAGTCATAGACCACGTTCTTTGTAGACTTTATTCTAACAGCGTCAGCTGGTGACTGGCAACCAGGTGCTGCCAAAGACAAGCCCCCATCTCAACATGGGAAAACATATCGTACGATGGTACAATCTTACATCTCCCCCCCCCCAAGTTAAAAGGAAATGACAATGCACATTTGAACTAACAAAAGGAAAACAATGCATTCATAAAAACAACAATAATGCAGGAAAAACCAGTCAAACAAAGGAAAAAAAAAACCCTCTAAACTGATTTTACATCACATACACTACACCACGTAGTCCGTCAACCAGCCCGGAGGCCTACGGCCTCTCCTGGGCCTGGCCGCGCTCGACTGGGGAGGGGCCGTGGGTGCGAAGGAGGGCGCGGGTACGGAGGGCACAGCAGAAGGGGGGCCAGGAGGCACAGCTTGGTGCACCACCGGAGTAGTAGGCACAGGTGTGGAGCCGTTTCGCAGGTGGCGTCTGTTGCGGATGGACACCCTGCCACTGCCACTCAACCTGACGGCATACTGCCTGTGAGGGCGGGCTTCCACCACTATGCCTGTCCTGTCCCAGAGCTTGGTAGCTGCGTCCTGCACATGCACCTGCGTGCCCACGACTAGGGGAGCCAGCTGGCGGGATACCTCCCTCCGCGACAGGACCCCATCCTGGGTTTCGGCCAAGCGCACCTCCCTCATACGAAGTGCCCGCCGCCAGTGCTGGTCCACCTTATAGTGCTGTCTGGCCACGGGAACGCCGTCACGGAGCTGGCGGCCGGTGGCAAGTTGGGCGGGCGACTTGTTCACCCCCCGCAGAGGCGTGTTCAGGTACTGGAGGAGGGCCTGGGATGTCCTATCGCAGTCCAGGCTACCCCCGGGCCCAGTGTTATCCCTGAGGAGCCTCTTGGCAGCCTTGACCCCAGCCTCTGCCCTGCCATTGGACTGGGGGAAGTGGGCCGACGAGAGGCGCACCTCGACCCCCCATGACTTGAGGAAATCTGTCATCTCAAGGCTGGCAAGGTTGGTACCTCCATCCGTGGAGATCTGCTCAGGTACCCCCCACCTCGTGAAGTAGGCCCGCAGACTGGCGATGATTTTTCCAGAGGTGGCCTCGTTGGGGAAGTGGGCGATCTCCAGCCAACCTGTGAGTCGGTCAGCATATGCTAGGTACGTGCGGCCCTGCAGGTGGAACAAATCGGCCACCACTTGTTGAAAGGGATAGTCTGGCGCTGGGGTCAGAACCAACGACTCCGGAGGCTGGGAAGGGGCGTGGGTCTCGCAAGCAGCACACCGGGACCGATGATACTGCAGGTCACCCTCCATGCCAGGCCAATAGACAGACTGCCGGGCCCGCCTGAGCATTGAGTCGAGGCCCTGGTGCCCCACATGCAGGTTAACGGCGACCCGGTGGCGGAGGGAGTCGGGGATGACAAGGCACACGCAGCCCTGGTCAAAGGTGTAGGTGACCAAACCCCTGACCACAGCCAACCTGTCCCTCACCGAGAAGTACGGGCGCAGACAGGCCACCTCCTGCGACTTGTGGGGGTGCCAGTCGCCTGCCAGCAACCTCGACACTAGAATCTGGTACACTGGGTCGTCCGCAGCCGCTTTGCACACTGTCTTCGTCCATAGTGATGCACCCATCCTGATCCAGTGCTGCGATTGTGACTGCACACACTGCAGCGCACAGGTCCTCCTCTTGGTCCATGTCCTCCGCATCAGGCGCCGCCCTGAGGGAGGGGAAGCGGGATAGGACATCAGCTGCACAGTTCCGCTTCCCTGGCAAGTATTTGACCGTGAATCGGTACAGCAGGGTCTTTTCCTTGAGCCTGAACAGGCGCGGATTCGCCACATCCGTGAGGGCTCTGTCCCCTAGCAAGCCAACTAAGGGGCGGTGGTCCGTCACCAGAATGAGGTTCGGGCAGCCAAGGAGGAACAGCCTGGCCTTGCGCAGGCACCACACCACAGCCAGGGCCTCCCCTTGTACTGCAGCATAACCGGCCTCGGCCGTGCTCAGATGTCGGCTACCACACAGAGCCAACCGCCACCCTCCTCTGCAGCAGAAGGGCGTCTCTGGAGAGGCACAGTATTGTTGCAGGACGACGAAGCCGATGCCCTCCCTGCTCCAATCAGTGACAGCTGCCGTAGGCCTGGATTTGTCGTAGTACACCAAGCCATCTCTGGCCAACTGACAGATGGTGTC